AAACAGAAAATAAGGATAAAATAAATATTACCCAAAACATATTGTACGTCCTTACATTCTAAAATATTTTATGACTATTCTTTGTCTCTTATTTTCTACAACAGTCTTTCTCTCTAATTTAATAATTATTCATTCCCGGAAAAAAGCGCCATATGTTTTGCAACAAGTTTTTTTCCCAACAACAATGATGCATTCATGGCTACACTATACTATTGTTGTCTCTTTAGCTATTTAGAGGATTGAATTCGCCACCATCAAGATGTTAACAAAAGGAAAAAAATATGTATGAACATACTCTCCTTAAAATTATTCTATTTTTAACTAAATTGTCCTTTTAAAGTATTTTCCAAATATCATGAAAGACGGTAAAAAAAGTGGTGATATGAACTAATGACTTCATCTATATGCTCAGTAAACACATTTCTTCGATGAGAAACAACTGCGTCTGCTTATTTCATATATAATTAACGTAGGTGTTGACAACAACAGGAATAAACACATATTGTATTGATTTTGTCAATGACGCCGAATATTATCTTATTTATAATATTTTCGAACTAAAATCCACTGTAATTAAATATTTTTCTCTTGTATACCCAAGTGGCGTCACTATCGTCTCGAATGAATCGTATTGAAATAGACAATCAGGACTACTTTTTGATTGAGAATATATAATGCTATTGTCTATAAGGAAGTACAATTTTTTGATCATTAATATGTTTCCTTGAGTTATTATTTATGAATTCACTCGAAAAACTATGTACAGTAATACGTATTCTAACTATAGAAATTTCAGCTAAAAAGTATTCATAACGTTTAAAAATTCTTTTTCTAAACGGAGTTGCTATTTGTCATGAACATCATTCGTAATATACACTTAACTACATTTTTTTCATCTTCTTTCCTTCTATAAACATGGTACTCGCTTCGTTTGGCTGTAAACAAATGATATTTCTTTCTTTTTTTCTCTGTCTTCCCGTCTTGTGGAACTCACATGTAAAAATGTGAGTGTAAGTTATAATCCCAAGTTTCGTTGCTACCCTCCCTTCTCCCATCCCAACGACAAAAAACCTGAGATTTTTTTAGTATCCTATCAAAAACCTGAATGTTTTAAGATTGTCTTATGAAAAGATACTAAAACCTTTAAAAAAATCAACTTTTTTCTACTTGCTTCTTCCTCACTACCAGACTACCATCACAGACGGATACTCTTAATTAAAAGCATCTGACTCTATATATTGACGATTTTTCTCATCTTATTCTGACTGCAAACCTTAAGCATCGAGGTTAAAACTCAACAGCAGGATGAATAGTGATTCGACATCGTGATTGAAACACATTGATTACGTTTTCTTAATAGTCGTGGTGAATATATGAGTTCCACATTTTAGCCTCAAAGGAGATACACTGATAAGCTTTTTTTCTATTCAAAGAGATATTAAAAATTATTCATAGTTCAATACTAGAAACTATTTCTATTAGTTACATATTCGTTTCTAGAAAAGCAAATGCCTAGCTTTAAGATTTTTAATTCGATTATATCTAAAAAATCAAATGATAAGTTAGCCTCTACTGGAGAATATGTATTCGTATTCTCAAGAGTAACCGATAAAATAATATCGAAAAAGGGACTGTCGGTTTCTAGTTGAAGAATCATTTGATCATTTGTTTTCTCTAGTAAAATTCCAAGAACATCATCAAAACAATCGCTTGATTGAATTATAATTATCGATCGTTTAACTTTTGAATCTTTTAAAATGACTTCGATATAATACCAAAGTCATCTCTCAAAATAACTGTTACAGCACAACATTCAGTTATCTTGCACATATTCCTCATAAATTTTGAACAAGGATTATCAGTAACATAACTAATCGAATCTCATTCATTAAGTAAAAGGAAATGTGTATGATATTTGTTCAACATTTTTTCTTCATTATCAATCAGTAGTATACACCGTCTTTAACTACTTATAGTTTTCAAAGCAACACCAGTCGAATCTTATTTTAATGACTTAAAAATATACATAACAAAATCAACATATTAATAGCAATCAAATTTCTTACTCAATTACATTCTGCCGCTGTATTACAACTGGTCACTTCTGATAGTTGTGAATATAACAATTAATGATGATACAAACTTTATATAATCAACAATACCTTTATGCGAATAAAAACTTATATTTTGTTTTAATTAACGATTTGACTTTAAAAGGATAGTTTCGAACAGAAAAAGAAAGTCATACGATATAGTACAATAGTACTTTGTATATGAATCTTAAAAAAAAATCATCTAATCTAAATCTATGCATCAAAGCAATTTATTTGAAACTTTAACATTTCCAGTATCGTCGTAGTTCACCGAAAGTTACATTTTCATTTACTAGTTATAAAATCCGTCAATATACATTATAAAATCTTCTTCTATAAAAACGATTCTTTTGTTCATAAAAATGGTTCTTTCAATATTCGACTGATCATCGATTATAGTCATTTTTTTCCTCTAATAAAAAAATACCACCTTATTCATAGCATAGGAATAAGCCGATCAACCATAATTGAGATAATTTATATAAAAACGATAGTTTTTCTGCCAAAATAAAAATATACAGACTTTTTTCGTCCACTATATCTAATAGAAAATTAAAAAACTCTCATTTGATTATTTTTATTCTCATTATCGAGATTAATTGTTTCGAAACGTCATTCATATTTACTTTTATTTGAAAGTATTTTCACATTTCCCACCAAACATAGAACAATCATGTATGTCTCTATAATGCAACTCTTCGATTTAAAAACAAGCTTTACTTTAAAATTATAATAGTTATTTTTTTTCTGTAAATAAAACATCTGATACATATTTTCTATACCAATACTAGAGATGAGCAATTCAGACGTTTTCGCAGGTCCGATGCGCCATGAATTGACTTGACTTGCCAATTTCTGTTCCATATGAAGTTTCATTGAACCATATTTGGAAGGATGTGAGAGTAATTTCCTTCTTCACCATCATTCTTATCACACTACTCACATCTTCAAATATACTTTCACACAAAGAATCAGTAGTGCTTTATTTATTTTCAAAGCGAGAATTTTATTGATTAAGCAAAGCGAATGATCTTCTTTTAAGCAGATCAGAAAGCAATAATTAAGCTTATGAAACGTTTCTATATTGTCTTACACATTCAAAACTAATGTTTTGAACTTTGAGCAATTGTAATACATATAGTTTTATGCATTCAGAAAAGTTCCATAACTAGAAATGTTATTATGAAATGATGAATGACTGTCAGATATATGAATATACTGGTGCATTTGCCAATATTATCCATAATCGCAAAGTTTTGTTGAAGTTCATAATATCAAGCGAGAGTGAATAGCAGTTCCCATCGTATAATGTTTTATAAGCATAATGTTTTTAGTAAAGCAGTAAAATGTTAATGAATAAATAGTGGCTGATCATCAATAAATCTTAGCAATGTAAGAGAACACCGACATTGTTCGAACCAACGTTTGCAACAATAATATCAGGTTTATTGTCGCTATTCGCATCGACGACTGCTACTGAATATGGGGTGCTACCAACTGAGTAAGTAGTCTGAGCACCAAAGGTGCCGTTGCCTGTGTTGAGAAGGACACCGACGGTGCTCAGACCAGAGTTGGCAACAACAATGTCAGGTTTGTCATCGCTATTTACGTCAACGACTGCTACTGATGTTGGTTTAGTGCCAACTGGGTAAGTAGTCTGAGCACCAAAGGTGCCGTTGCCTGCGTTGAGAAGAACACCGACGGCATTCGTACCATAGTTTACAACAACAATATCGGGTTTATTGTCGCTATTCACGTCGACGACTGCTACGGCTTGAGGGCCACCAGCAATTGGGTAAGTAGTTTGAGCGTTAAAGATACCGTTGCCTTTGTTGAGAAGAACACCGACGGTGCTCGAACCATAGTTTGCAACGATAATATCAGATTTATTGTCGCTATTTACGTCGATGACTGCCACTGATACTGGGTTAGTGCCAACTGCGTAAGTAGTTTGAGCATTAAAAGTGCCGCTGCCTGTGTTGAGAAGAACACCGACGGTATTATCGGCATTGTTTGCA